TTGAAGTCGGCGGTTAAGTTCGGCTACATCAGCTTGGCTCACCTGTATCTGCTGAGACGAGGCTGAGGCTGCAGGGTCTTGGGGCAGGTCAGAGGCAAAGTCGTCATGGACGTCCACCAAGGAGGCTGAGGGCAAGAGGTCTGTCATGTGGCTGTGGTCGGCTTGGAAGGCTAGAGGCCCAGAGAGGCCAGCATTCAGACGCTGCATCTGACTCAGCTGGGACGAGGCGCTGCCAGTGGGCATGCCCCCGTTGAATTGATAGGCCGGGCTGCTATGGCTGTTCCAATTGGCATCCCAGGCTCTGCGCTCGGCTGCTGTACGCGGCATGTTAGGCTAGAAGGCTGAGGCAAGATTGGTAGATCGAACTTTGAGCAGAATCGCTGTGGAGTATGCTATGGAGCGAGGGATCTGCCATTACATGGTGGAGGCTATCTGAGCTTGGGGCTCAGCTTTTGGAGGCAGAGGCTTCAGACCTGGAAGGGCAGGTGCATGGCTGTGGCACGGGCTTGATGAGCTATGTTATCATGGCAAGCACGGTTGCCAAGAAGCAAGGCTCTCCAATCTTGGGAGTCGAGGCAAAGTAAAAGCAATGAACAAGGCTGAGTACCGAACAAAGTGTCGGTCAGCCTCTGACCTGAGCTGGCAAAACGGAAGGACTGGGCTCGAGAGGCGATCTGTTCGTAGAGACCAACCCTGTACATGAATTGGGGTCTCAAGGCCAGAGGCAAAGACTGGGGCTGCAACTCATCGTTCGGACCTGTCGAGGCTGGTCGCGGGCTGACAACCCCAGTGCTAGAGGCAGATACCGAACCCTCGCTGGAGGGGAAGAACCTCAGGTCGTCTTGAGATATCTGGGCAAAACCTGTGGCATCAAGGCTGGGAAGGCTTTCTTCAGACGGCAGCCTGAGAAGAGCTTCCTGGTCAAAACCCGGGGCTTGTCCCATGGGCTGCGTGAAATCTGAGGCACTAGCGCCTGTCGAAGGCAGACCTAGCAGGCCAAGATAAGTTCTGCAGGCAATAATGGTCTCAAGAGGAGACGAACTGAAAAGGTAACATGGCACGGCAAGGCTAGGCCGCTAGCGGCCAAGGCGGCAGTCTAA